AACGGTATTTAAATGTATGTGCCTTTCATCTTATGAAATGATTATATATACGCTAATATAAATTTATAACTATATAAAATATATAAATAATAATAATTTATAGCGTATATAGCTAATTTAATATATTTATACTATATTTATAATGATTAGCTTATTATTGAGACAATTTATGAAGAAAGAAAAAACTAATAAGATATCACAATGGGTATCAGCCCGACTGTTATCCTGCTGTTTCAAAAGTCAATGGACGCGGAGCTTAATAATTTATCATTATTATTGTCAGTAAGAATAAATATGATTCTATAGTAACTAGTGAACATTATTAAGAAAGATATAATCGATAAACAGAACTTGAGACAGTATAAAGTTTTTCACCATGATAGAAGTCCCATCGGTGAGGAGTTAAAGGTCTCCAATTTCCCGAGGCGAAATTATACCATCCAGAACCAACATGATTTCTAAAAAATGACTGACACCATTTTACTATATTATCTAATTATAGTGCTTTAAAAGCTATTATAATTTTTTAGAAACTTCACCAGACTAGAAAATCTTGACATTAACCTGAAATACGCGTGTTACGCGTGTCTCTCCCAAGAGGCAGTTTATATTATGGAAACACCCTATGATCTCATACTTAATCTTAGCATTGTATAGTTATTGATTATCTCTTGTATGAATTGTAAATACCATATACTCAGTAGGTGGTTTTCAAATCTAATCTTTCCCCTAAAATGTGTATTTACTTACTAGAAAATTTCAAATCCGGTTCAAGTCTACATATCTGTCATCTTTACCAGTTATCGTTCTCTAAACCTTCTTTAGTGGCACTTAGGAAAGTGTCTTATATATCGTCACGGAGCCTACATCAGCGAAGAATCGCTGAACGAGTCGCCAGCATCTTCCCGCGTGCGTCGCCGGACTTCCTGCGTATCCTTAGCAACCTCTGTTTATGGTATGACAAGAACATGAACGTGCGTGCCGGCGCCATCTGCCCACTGCGTATAAAATTTGCGCGGATAATAACCATTTACTTTCCTGTGACCAATATCTCACCGAGATATTCAAGTATATTCAAGGCATTTCTAGACCACTTTAGAAAACAATGACCCCTGTGATCTATTGCACTAATCGTCGACTGCATATATTGCCAAAGTAAGGATTCCCCCTCTGATTGAGATCTTTGAACCTTTCCCCGCGGGAGAGAGCCATGCCCGTCACCCATGCCCCTACGAGCCAGAGCGGAGCAACCGTGGGACAGACCTCTGGCCTTTGACATTATTTCGAACCCCAGAGTGTGAAGCTTGAAGAGAACAAGAAGATTGCACAAGAGCGAATATCAGTTATCGTTGCAGCGCCTTTGTGAGTGTCAACTGATTTCCCCTTCGGGAGCATGGGATTAGCTCAAGCCAT